GGTGAGTTCCCATGGGTCTAAACTAATTTGAGTATGTGTGGCGCCGTGGGATAATGCACTAGGCCACAAGGTCGGCAGTTCAAATTCACCAGTCGCTCCTTGGAAACCCTATACAAGGTCACTATGAGTCGACAGCACTTAACAACAACAATTTGAGGATGATTACGATTATCTGTTCGCTATTGTTTCTTGCTATTGTTTGTTGCTCCAGAGGGTTTTCTTGGCTGTCATTTTAATGGAAGCAGATTGCCACGCCTTCTTTTCCAAAGTATCGCTGGGTGAGTTCGAACAACCAACCTTTTGGTTAGCAGTCATATAGGTCTCCACCAGGCAGCAACATGTACTACAACTGGGATAGCAGCTTCCCAAGAAACCTAAAACAACATTTTTGTTGTTGGACAATATATGTTCCACAGGCAATGAAACCATTAACTTATGTTCATCATGCTGTTCTGACTAGCCCTTTAAAAAGCCAGACATTTCTGTCTTTCTCCTGTTTCTGACTCCTCCTCTGTGCCCTCTCAAATTTCTTTGGTAGATGCTGTTTTAGAAATAATCCTGAGCAAAACCTCCCAGTAAATCTAATCTGGGAAATGATGAGAAATCCTTAGTTTCCATTCTTGGACTACTACTCACGGAGCCTCTCATATTTCTGGAATTTAAATCAAGTAAAAAGAAAAAGTTTATACTACTCTGGTTTCTTGCCTGAGAGGAGCTGGGCCTATAAAACAGTGATTTTTAAAAATTTTTATTTTAACCTCATTTGAGTACCTTGTTACCTGCCCACCAAACCTAGGAAACCTGAGCCCACTGGGACATTTACCAGAGCAGAGAAAGCAGTCCTGGCTTAATCAGTCTTCACTTCTATCCCTCAGAGTCAAGCGACTCCCAGCGGGCTTTCTCTAGCATGTGGCTCAGCTCTGCTTCTCCATCTCTGAGGTTGAACACATGAGCCCTCGAGCCCTCAGACCTCTCCACCAAACTCTCTCATGTCCAATCTGTTCTTCTTCATACACCACAATACAAAACATTGCTTCCCAGAAGCCAACTTCACTCCATCTCTGCTCAATTGACCAAGAGTCCCCCCCCCCCCCCCCCGCCCCCCAGTGACCTTCGGCATCTCCACAGTAGAGCCAGGTCCTTAGTCTGAACTTCAAAACTCCCTCAATGCCTCCTCATTTTTGTCTACACCCAGCCCAGCCTGCCTCCTTCTGCTATCAATGACAGTTGACTATCCCTGTGGAGGGTACAGACCTGGCCCACTCACCCAAAAGCTCTCTCCCCTCAACCTTGGACCAGTTTCTTCCTCAGGGCAAACCAGTTGTATTTCTAAAATTAACTCTTTATTCAGCTGGGGCGGCAGGGGGTTTGAGGGGAGATGGTGGTGGCACTCTTGAAGGAATATGTGGTCTGGGCAAGGTTGGAATCATTTCAGGTCCAGAAACTGATGCTCAATTCCAGTTCACTAGTATTAAAAAAAGGAACTCTGGTAGCATAGTGGTTACGAATCGGGCTGCAAGGTCAGCAGTTCGAAACTACC